CAGCTGGCATGACAGGATGGGGAATTCTGGGAGTGGAAGTCCACCCCCCTCAAAGCCACCAAGGTTGAGAAACACAGGAACAAAAGGGCTCCCTCCTGTCTTCCCAATTCTTCCTCCCACCCCTGCAGGCTATTTCCAAAGGACCCTCACCCCACACCCCGCCTCCTTCCCCAGATTAGCTCCTTTGAAAAGGATGCAAGGAGAAGGGCGCAACCTCTTATGCTTCTCAGTTGTATGGAACTCTGGCGCAATCCTCGCATCTCTTTATGCGGCTCAGCCCCACGTTATGTGCAGGAGCGTGCTCACTAACACGCTTGGGCCCATGCGTTTAGATGCTTCCATGTTACACCTTTTGTAAGCCCTGCCAGAGACGGCGTCAGCACTGACCATTAACACGGCTTTTTCCCAGGCCAGATCCAATATTACAGAACGGCCACAGGAACTGAGCCTCTCCCCTTCGTGTTACAATTTAGGAGAGGGTGCAAAAATATTTTTACAGCTCAGGGCTTTCAATGGTTGGTAGATATGCCCTAAAAGCCATGGGGAACGACTGGAACGCACGCTTTTTACAAACAAGTATGTATTTTCCTCTTTTTCTAAAGCGCCCATGGGATGTAACTGAAAGGTAGAACAAAAATAAATGCAAGAAATAAATCACGGGAATGTACTGAATTTGCTGCAATGGAAAATCATTCACTCTGTATGGATTTCCTTTGCCAGAGATTTACAAAAAAGGGAGTGACGTCCTCCAGCGGACAAATGTGGGAGAGCGAGCTCTTCGAGTCTAGCCAAGCGTAGGAGTTCAAAAACAAAACACTAACCAATTAATCATTCTAGATTTACAAACTAGGAAGCGTAAAATGGAAAGAGCCATCCGTCACCGCTGCAATGAAGCTTTTTCATTCAATGTACAAACTGGTCTGGCTGCCAGACGTCCTTACCAAACTTAACAGGCAAAAAGACAGACCGATATATTACTTAGCATGTAACGTTTAAGGAGGTCTGGCTAAAGTCGACATCCTAATGAAAACAGGATGGGAGCGAAGACGGCGTTGCTTAGAAATGGAAGAGAAATATAAGGATATTTGCAGGGCGGGGAGGACATCCGAGACTATTAAACAGAAATGTATATTAAAAAGAGGAAAGAAAGCTCAGTGGCCGGCTGCTTTGGCCACGTGCTCCTGCCACAGTTTGTGACGGGCCTCGTTTGTGTCCTTGGAACTGCAGTGATAAAGAACATGAAGGTAAATCAAAGCACAAACTGTGATACAGAGACGCAGAAAGAGTCAACTCACCTGCTCGGTTGGGAAAAGGGTGTTGATGTATTCCACAGCATTGAAGTCAGCCCTGTCCAGTGGATCCTGGCTGGGGAATACCTACCGGTCAAGGAAGAAGGAAAACCACCGAGTGAATGGTAGGTACTGTAATTGCAAACACCATTAAACAGCACACTAATTCCGCAATTTAAGATGCTCAGCAGCAAGTTCACCGCAGTTTATTTTATTTTGTTTAATAAAATTGTGTTGTTCTGTAACGTCGTGCTTTTTAAAAAAAAAATTGTATTTCAAATCCGTCACCGCCCATCTCGCTGCAGAGAGACTCTGGGCAGTTTACAGTAGAAAGAATAAATAATAATTAAAATACACTGTAACAAGATTCCTATATAAATAATAAATATCTTCCAAGGAACGGATGTTAACTAGGAGTTATGAGACTCGGGGAGCATCTTCAAGGCGCCAGCCACCCCCAGGGTTGGTTATATCTACCCGTCCCACCTGTCAGGCAGAGAGGGTATGCTGCGGACCCCGTCAATGGAAGAATGTCGACTGGCGGGGTCCAGAAAGAGAGCCTTCTCTGCCGTGGCCCCCGCCCTATGGAGTGCTCTCTTGTCCTTCCAGAAAGCAGCCAAGACCTGGCTCTGCCAACTGGCATGGGGCGAGAAAAGGGGCAGCCATCCCTGGGGGTGGCTGGCACCTTGAAGATGCTCCCATATGTTAACATCTTACTGACCATCAACATCTTGGAAGATATTATTATTTGTGTGTGTGTTTGGTTTTATTCTATTCTTACTGTACTTTATATTGTTTTATTGTATTTTAATATTTATTGCTGTTTTATTGTGAACCGCCCAGAGCCACTGTTTGTGAGATGGGCGGTATCTAAATTTGAAATATAAATAAATAAATAAAATATCTCTTCTCGCCCCACGCGAGTTGGCAGAGCCAGTCTTTAGTCCTTTCCGGAGAGCCGGGAGAGGGGGGGTCTGCCACATCTCTGGGGGGAGAATATTCCAGAGGACGGGGGCACGCTAAGATACAGAATACGGTTTTTGAGGAAGAGAGAGAAACAACTGGAAAAAATGGTTCAGATAGATATAAGCAATAACTGTAGAAGTTTAAAGCAGAGTATAAATAGCTAAGTAGTGTTGGGGGGAAAATTAAAGGAAGTAGGAGAGGGTGCTATTAAATACTTCTTCTTACAATGCATTTTTTATTACACTGTATCTTCTTGCATTTCTATTTTTGATTTCTGACTTTTGTACAGTGCTTATGCAATAATTATAACAATAATTGCAGGGTAGTGTGAGGAAATAAGAGGAGGGAGCATTATTTATACCCCCTTGAGCTGCACAAAACAAACGTGGGATATGTATCTAGCAAATAAAATGGTGCAATGACGGAGAAGGCTCTCCTCCTGGGTCCCGCCAACCGACATTCTCTCGCTGATGGGGTCCGTAACACGCCCTCTCTGCCTGACCGGGTGGGACGGGTTGATGTGATGGGGTGAGACGGTCCCTCAGGTAGCCTGGACCCATGCCCTGTAGGGTTTTAAAGGTGATAACCGACACCTTGAATTGGACCCGGAAGCAAACTGGGACCCAATGCAGTTCCTGCAGCAGCGGTGTTCCACGTGCCATCCTTGGGGCACCCAAGATTGTCCGCGCGGCCGCATTTTGAACCAGCTGTAGCTTCCAGATACTCTTCAAGGGTAGCCCCATGTAGACCGCATCGCCGTAGTCTAACCGAGAGATGACCAGGGCGTGAGTGACTGACCAGAGAGCCTCCTGATCTGGACCAGGAAACACAGGCAGGTAACCCTACCGAGTTCTCTCTGGTTACAGATTCCTGCAGTTCAAAGGAGCCCTGGACACCATCCAGTCCACCCCCCTCTAAAGCCTCCCAGATGGCTGTCCAACCTCTGCCCAAACACATCCAGGGAAGAGGGACCTACCATTTCCCGGGCCCAGCCACTCTGAAGAAGTTCTTTCTGAAGTTGCCCTAACAGCCTTCCCCGAGATTCGGATGATCCGGACCCCTCTTTGCCTTCTGGGAAGCTGTCAGAACGTGGCTTCCCCCCCCCCCCC